AGAAAGTTTTCTGTATGAGTCATATATCATGGAAAATACCAGGAAACTTCGATGTGAAAAGTATAGGTTGAGAAAGACAGATGAATGAGTCAGTAAAATGTGTCAGTAAATAAATAGTTTAAAACTACTGGCTTGAAAGGGAGTATTTTTTGATTATAAGATAGCATTCTACCTTAAAACATTACTTTTTCTTGTGAGCAATCCAGTTATCTGTGGGAGTTTGCAGGAATCAGCAAGTCTGCAGTTGTCAGATGAATGTCACCTGGATTTCTTATACTGCTGAATATGCAGCTGAGTGTGCAAAATCTGCCTTCTATTTGTGGGAAGATCAAAGGCTTGGGGTGTAATGGGAACTGAAGGCGTGAATGCTGTCTTTTTCATGATGGAAGACATACTTGGAAATAAAAAGGCCAAGATATTAAGTCTAGTGACACAGCAATTGAAATCTGTTGCTTTAGCCGTTCTTTATAAATAAGCAAATACTGTTTGTTGAGTGTTTGTTACAGAAGTAACAGTAAGTAGATGGTACTTCCAAAATCATTAATATGAATGTTCTACTGATTTCTCTTTCATTAGCCTCATGAACCATTCTGACGATTTCCGCATAAATAACAGCACTGGAGAAATCACCCTCAGAAGTAACTTGGACCATATCACAGCTGACAGAGTTGTTACACTGATAGTTATTGCTACTGATCATGGAGTTCCTCAGCTTACATCAAAAGGTAAATGATGTCTTTTCAAGTTCTCTCTCTTTTTTTTTTTCTTTTTTTTTCTTTTTTTTTCCTTCCCACATACACGGAACCTTTGCAAACATTGAAATTTGAAATTAATACCATTGCCATCGAGTCAAGTGAATTAGGGCTAGAATCTATGTTATGTCTCAGCAATTATGAATATTTGATTTTTAGTCTTTGTTATTCTCCCAGCTGCTCATATTAACAGAAAGCTTGGTATAGTAAACCTGGTTAGAAATACATTTTTTGTATTTCTTGCAGTGGTGCTTATGGTACAAAACCCAGGACTTCATAGTAGTAGCCACTCTAAAAAAGATGTATTAAAATAATACTGATAATGTGTGTTTCTTTTTTCAGTTTTCCTTTATTTTCTTAGAATTAGGAACATTTAAACAAATTAGAAACTGGTAAATAACCCTCAAACACGTTTCTGCTCTTTCAAAAAATAAGCAGTCACTGGTATTTTCATGTATTTTTAGGGGTTAGCTTTGGTTGATCATGAATGGGAGAAACAGCTGATATTCTTAAAATAGGATGAGTGGCCACAACAGAATTTGAAGGCTTATGGCTTTAGGTATATCCCTTTTCTTTTGTTACAAAGCCATTTAGTGTAAGATTTTTTAAAACGTGGGGAACACCTGCATCAACTTGAAATTGGTGATCCTTGCTCTCCTGTCACACTGAAGCAACACTGCTGTGATCAGTGAAGCGGGGTTATTCTGGAACATTAGTTAGGCAAAAAAGGCATCATGTTTTATGTATGATGTATTAGTCATTATTAATTTTTTTCTTTCTTTCTCATTCCTCTTTCCTACATGTAGGTTTCTGTCATTTTCTATTAGATCCTCAAAAATTTAGGGAAACAGAGCACAGATCATGATGATTTTAGCAGCAACTTCACTATTTTAATTTGTTTTCTCTCATTAGCCCCTGTTACTCTCTATTTGCTGGTAAATGACACTAGCTTCGGACTGACTTTTGATAGCTTCAGCTACGAGTTCAGCATTCAAGAAAATGAACCGTCAGGGACTGCTGTTGGCTCAGTGAAGGCTCTGACTGGAAGCATAGCTGTACAAGTGGGGTACTCTCTGAAATCTCATAGTGACAAGTTCTCTATTAGTGACCAAGGAGACATTGTGGCTCTTGCTGGGCTAGATCGAGAAGAAGACGACCTATACAGCATCATTGTAGAAGCTGTTGATTCTGTGGTGCCACCCAATACAGCTGTTGCTTTGGTACAGTATACTGCACTTTAAAATATTTTTTTAAAAAGGAATACAAAATATTAAAAAAAATATTTAAAACCCAAGCAATATCATAGAATCATATAATTGTTTGGGTTGGAAAAGGCATTTAAGATCCTTGAGTCCAACCATTAACCTAGCACTGACAAGTCAACCACTAAACCATGTCCCTAATATTCAGATAAATGTCATCTGTTATGCAAGCATGAGGATTTTGAGAGTCTTTTATTTAATTTCCCCAAGGAGATATTGCCATCCTGAACTATTGTCAACTTCACAAATAGCACCACTTCCTCGGTGAATAACCCACTTCTGTGAATAACCCATAACCAGAGAAACTGATTAACATCAAAACTGATTCTGTGCATAGTTCTGTCAAATACATGAGGCAGACGAGCCCCAAAGCCCCAGATTATTAATCCTGCTCATTTTTTCTAGTTAAAGCATATGTTATCTCACTTGTAGCAGTTGAGAATAAAAACAATAAAAATACTGAGATGCTGAAGTTGTGAAAATGCTCAGATGATGAAAAACACTGAAGTTGTTATGTATCTCTCTTTTTTGGGGGGTGTGCGTTTGTTTGTTTGGGGATTTTACCTGTAGGCTTTCATAGACTAAAATAAATCAAAATTCTCCTTTGGATACTGTTTCTACAGCTCAAATGTGTGTGTCTTTTTTTTTTTTTTTCTGTCTTCTTTTTTGGTCTTTTTTTAAATACAGGTTACTGTGAGAGTTAATGACATCAATGACAATCCTCCAGTTTTCTCAACATTGATTCAGACTAAACTATCAGCTCCTGAGAATGCAGCTAGCCCAGACTTGGGCGTATTTTCTGCTACCGATCTGGATGTAGGAGTTAATGCACTTATAAGCTACTCTCTGCAAGATGATTTTGCTGGAATGTTCCATATTAACAGTTCTACGGGCAAGCTGATGACCAAAAAATCCTTAGACAGAGAGATGATGGACAGTTATAAATTGGAAATAATAGTAAGTTGACGTTTGGTGCAAATTCACAAAATTCTCAACATAAAAAGAGAAAATACCGAATCTTCACAAGAAAACCACTTAATCTTAGTGAATTCCACTAGAATTATTTAAGGGATTTCTATTGTTTGTTAGATTTTGCCCCCAGAGTTTTTCTGCTGTGTAATGTGAATAAATGACCCAAGAACATCAGATCTTAAAGGTCATAGTCACATGATGGCTTACCGTGAAATCTGCAAAGCATTCCTGAGTCCATTTTAGACCATGCAGCTGCTGTAGTGCTGTACTGCTTTTACGACTTTGCCAATCCACATTGTTTGTCCCTTACCCTTATTTTTTCATTTTTCGAAATATATATACTTAGACCTTTTTTTAAAATACCTGAATTATAGATTTCCAAGCTAAAAAAAAAAAAAAAAAGATTCTATCTGATTTCACTGATTTTTACTACTATTAATCAGATAAATTATTATGCGTATATGAAGAAGTGTTCCAGCACTGGCCATCACGTACAAATCTATTTTAAGGAGATCTTTACTGCTAACAAATAATTTAACAGGTCAAGGAACCTGTGGAACATATTCAGGGCAGCAAGGAAACATACCAAACATTGAACAGTGTCTTCTGAAGATTTTGGAATTAATGAAAGTGGACACTTTTTAAGACAAATTGAAAATTATGTGTATGTACCTATAGATTAGAACTTTTCTATGTCAAGCATCTGCAATGTAAAAGCCACTGTGAATTTGCCACGTACTAGGTACTCTTCACAGCTTGCGTTATAGACACTTCAAACCCTCAAAATGCAATGGATTTCCTTATTCTTTTAAACGCCACATCACAGATATGCACCTGTATAACTGTGGTTTAATGTTGATTAGTGCCACATCTGATCACACGGCACATTTGATCTGGATCTAGGCTTGAGCTTCTGATTAATTAATTGTTCATGAAATGAGGCAGAGCGTGTGATATGATGAGGATACCAGCTGCAGGAAGACATGCAACACCTAATCAAGTGCAGGGCGAGACCATTGTTGCTGGGTAATAACTTATCTGGAAGAAAGTCTTCTGAGACAGAGTGTCACAATTTGTGGAACAAAATTGAGCTGGTAAAATAAGTTTGTATCAGTGTAAGGCTGCATTTAATGACAAGTTGTTTCTTCACAGGCCACTGATTCTGGCAAACCCTTGCAGTCTGCAAGCTTAGTTCTAAACATCACTGTAGAAGATGTGAATGACAACCCACCAGTGTTCCCCCAGAAATCATATGCCGTGACTGTAAAAGAGAACGAGCTCCCACATGTGGTAGGTGGCATTAAGGATAAACAGGCTGTTCTGCAGTTGTTTTCTTTATGTAAACTTGGAAGCAGTGGTAATCTATGATGATTGTGCATTGATTGAACATATTTTTTGACTTGGTGGAGTGTAAAATCACACAGCATGTTCATTTTATATGACAGTGGAGTGCCTGTCCCACTGACCCTTCCTAAAGCTCTCTTTGTGCCGCTCCCCCTTTCCCTCCTGCCCCCAGCAGTGATGCCACACTGCACAGATCTAGTTTTCAGAGGACCTACAGGCAAGATGTTTTAAAGATGCTGTAGGTGTTATGCATATATCCAGCATCTCCCTGTTCTGAAGATTCCCTGTCTTCTCCCATTTTATCCATTTCTAGCTCCACATCTGCCTTGCAGATGTGAACTAACGGTTCTGAGGTATCAAAGAGGTCCCACCTAAGAATCTGTCAGTCGTTACCAGCTGTGTCAGTATTCTAGCAATGCAATTAATGGCCAGATGAGTAATTCAGTCAGTAAACACTATATAGTTAAATACCACTCTTGTGTGTATGTTTTACCATTCAGCTCTAAACCCGGTGGTTTGGTGTTTGGTTTTTGTTGTTTTTTTTTTTTTTCCTGTCATTTAGATTTTGAGTGCAGCAGCCACAGATGAAGATGTAGGGTACAATGCCATTATTCATTACACCATAATTGGAGAGACTTCTTTATTTCATGTTGGAGAACTTTCTGGGAATATTACAACTCTTCAACCTCTGGACTATGAACGTCATTCCCAGTATATATTTATTCTAAAAGCTTTCAACCCAGGAGAGCCATATCTCCAGGACACAGCAAACATTACAGGTAGGTCTACTTTACCACAGGAAGTCTGCCTTCATCTCCCTTAGGAAATATTTTAACAAGTGTAATTGTGAGGTATAAAGATAGCCTGCAGTAGTAATACAGTCTGCTAAAGTAAGTTAGCAGAAATGATGATAGGACCTTTTCACTATAGCCAGATGAAATTTTTCTCAAAAAGTGTTCGGCTTGTCAAAAATGAAGATGTTTCACACCAGATTACTTATTTCAATGTATTCACAAATTTTTCTATGGCATTTTTTGAGTACTTATGGCCATTTTGATTGAAAAGTTTTCCAAAACCATAATTCAGTTCTTTTTCAGATTGTTTACAGAAAGCCTGCTTCTAAGGTGGTAAAAAACCAAAGTCAACAACAATTTTTAGTTTTGTTAAAATACTTGATTGCTGTCATTCTGTTTCCTTAACACCAAAAATAATTTCTATCTTTATTTTCTCTACACAACATAAAAAATTTCTGTGAAGTTGGTATCCTAGTTTTTGGTCAGCCCTTCTTTTGATCAGTATGGCTGGAAGTATTGCTTTATTTATTACTTGTTCTGCATTATTCATGTTAGATACAGACAGCTTCATTAATTGTGGACCATGACCCAATTGTGCCATGTCATGCATAAATACACAACTAAGCAATCCTGTCTCACAGTGCTTGCAGTCTAAGCCAAAGGCTGGAGATACCAGATGAGTATGGACACAGAAGGGAGCCCAACAGAACAGTGAGGTGATATTATTCCTGACAGAGAGTAGTGACAGCATGCTAGCCAGAAGCACAGCCACTGTAGGAAACTGTTGCTTAAGCAGTAAATAATTTAATCCACACAGACAAGCATTTTGAAGTAAAGAAAACAAGGTCGCCATCTGGTTTAAACTGAAAGAGCTCCAACTCAATTAAGAGGAGCTGTGCTGGTTTATGTCAGTTGAAAAAACGTAAGCATTTAGGCAAAACTCATGTTTACACTCAGACACGGACCTTCTTTTCTTAGTTACTGTGGAGGATGTTAATGAAGAAGGACCCATATTTGACAAGCCCTCCTACTACCAGATCCTTCTAGACAACTCTACAGCTGGTACACTGGTAGTAGATATCAATGCAAGAGATGAAAGCAAGGGTTATGATGAAGGCATTTTCTACAATATTTCAGGTATGTTAAAAAAAAAAAAAAAAGTCTTATGGGCCTTTATTGCTGGGGCACTTTCATACTGCTAAACGAAGCTGCATGACAAGAAAATGAGAGAATAATGGTCATCAACTGAAATGGCAGGTTCTGACTGGATATAAAGGGGAAAAAAAGGATATAAGGGGGGAAAAAAAAAGTGTTCTGTGAGGATAACTAAGCACTGGAACAGCTTGCCCAGAGAGGCTGTCCTTGGAGGTTTTCAGCACCTGAGGAATCAAAGCCTTGAGCAACCTGCTCTGAATTAATTCATGACCCTGCTTTGAGCTCAGAGGTTGGACTAGAGGCCTCACAAAGGGCCCTTCCAGCCCAAATGATTCTGTGACCTAGACACAGAATCAGGAGAGGCCAGGTGTCTTCCTCCAAAATGCATACGCAGGTTAGGATTTCAACCCATGTCTCTTAAATCCTGGGTGTATAATTCAGTCACTTGTCTCTGCTGGCTCTGTTGAACATCTCCAACACTTGTTTTTCTGTCTTCAGGTGGAAACTCAGAAGGTCTCTTCAGTCTTTCCAGTGCCACAGGAGTACTCACATTAACAAGAGACTTATCCAAACAGACTGTTCCCCTATATTACTCCATGCTGGTCACTGCTACAGATTCGGGTGTGCCACCTCTTTCAACTTGTGTAAAGGTACTAAAATTTTTACCTTACTTGTGCCATTTATTCCACAGATTGTTTTATTCTAAACTGAGTGTAACTACATCGGGAAATGGGTATTAGTGAGGTAAAACTATGCAAAACAGGAATCAGAATGTCAGAGTCCTCCTTCTGTTTCAGGAACAGGAAACAAGATGATAACAGGTACAGAGTTATGCTGCTGTAACTGTTGCTGGCACACAACCGGTCATTGTTTTGATCATTCCATTTCAGAAAAGACAAACAGAAACTCTGGACTGTGAAGGAGAAAGATTAGAGGAGTGAAGACTTCTGTGAAGGATCAAAGAGTGGGACAGAGGGGATGTAGTGGAAGCATGTGGTAGAATAAACAGGAGACAGCAAATAAAGTGTTCCTGTTTATTTATTTATTACCAAAAAAAATTCTAAATTGAGGACCGAGAAATGTAAATATGATTATTTTTTCTTTTCCACAGTGCTTATAACTGACTGCTGATCTTTTGCCACTAAATATCACAGCTTAGCAGAATTCAAAACAGAAGACTAGAAATGTATATGGATAAAGACACATAGAAAACTATATTGAACTGAAACTTACAATGTAGACTTAGGAACCATCGTTTTTCAGAGCACTAGACAGCTGCTGGCATCATTTAGAAATAAATTATCTCTATTTTTATGAAGCAGGAGGCATTATTTATTTACCACCTGTCACCTTTTTTTCATCTATAATGTCAGTTATAATAATTTTTAAATACTGTACTTACAAGCTCCTGCTGTGGTCATGCATTCTCGAGTGGAAGAATTTGTTGCAAATACAGATCAGTACCTCTCTCTGAGAGCTCTTTAGCTTGACAAGTCATTTGAAATGTGCTGTTTGTGATGGACTGGAATGCCTCTCTCTATTTAGAAAAGCGTACAGGTGAACCTAAACTGATGGAGTTGCTGGCATTTTCCACTAACCTTCACTGCCTTCAAGGCACTAATGTGTCACACTCAGCACGCAGCAATCGTAGGCTTTTTCTTACTGACAAAGTTTTGGACTTCTGCTGTCTGCTAAACCTGAAAACATAACCCCTGTGGTCATGTCCCTTTCTCTGCAGGTGACGGTAACAATAGCTCCCGTGAACGTTTCACTGCCAGTGTTCTCCGATGCAGTCTATCAGCCTGCCCCTCTGAGTGAGAAGACGCTTCCAGATACATTTGTTGTACAGATCAGTGTGTTCTATAAGGTCCCTGTGATATACAGTATTGTCTCTGGAGACGGGAAGGGTAAGCTCTTTATGGGAAATAACAAGGAAGAGGGTGTGTTAAACTGCAGAGCACTGAGCTTTTGGATCGTTTCTTCTCTCTCTCCTTTTGCTGTAGTCTCACTTCTACACCCATTAATACTGAATGTGTATCAACCAGACCTACAAATCTGATATGGATGAGCTGTGGGCACATGACTGAATCTCTGGAGATTAGCTAGAGCCACATGAGCCCGAGCTAACGGCACCAGCTGTGTGCTTTTCTATGTCTGCTACAGGAAGATCGGGTGATACCTGATCAGGCATAAAGTTACAGTGACTGCAGGAAGAATACCTTATTCAGCATAGAGACTGCTGGTAGAAAAACTAACTCAGCAACATTTTCTTAACAAATATGAACACATAGAGTAAGTTTACATGGGATCAAGCGGATCAGTGCTTTTTTCACTGAACATAGAGATGATTTTATTCTATCATCAAACGTAGCACCTTTATATTTCTTTCTTGTAAAATGTTATGTATGAAGTTGTGGTCTTATTGAAGTTATTTGCAGAATTCCTTATCTTGAGTAAGAAGGGGGCTTCATAGGAAATAAAATAATTTCTGACTGAAACAGGGACAAATAATCTGACTTTTTCAGAGGAAGATGAAGACTACCTGACTGGAGAGTGGTGGAGTGAACTTCTCCCCTTTCGTTCCCACCTGACCTTCTGAATTATTTGTTTTTGTTAATTACAGCTCTGGACATTCTTGTAAATCCATGTTGAATTTTATTTTGTTCTTTAATATGGTATGTTAGCGTATTCTTCAATGTACATAATTTGCATAGTTTGCATCAGAGGGTTCATATCTTCAGTTTTAACTAATAAAATCATAAACAGATTAATATCCATTTTTCTTTAAACAGGGTATTTCACTATTGATTCATCCACTGGTATCATAAGAACAACAAAGAATTTGAAACTGGAAGATTTTCCAGTAATTTTTGATGTGCGAGCAGCAGATTCCTCTCACGCTAACATATTTAATGATGTTTCTGTGAATGTGCAAGTTATTGATGAAAATGACTTCCCTCCAGTTTTCCCATCCTATCTACTAGAAGAAAGATTGGAAGAGGTAAGAAAATGTCATCCAAACTGAATCACAAAAATAAATCCTAAAAATAATAATTAAAATCTTTTGATGAGCTTACAAGTAAAGGTTCTGGAACTGGACAGGTTTGCCATTCTGTTCTGCCATATGACCTTTCAAGGTTTATTTCAAGCTGAAAATCCCAATACACAAAGAGAGCAGTCTAGAAGTAGTGTGGACATATTGAAGGAAAAGTGCATCCTTTACTAATAAAGGGCTTCATGAAGGGAAACCAGCCACTCCATTTTGCATATTTGTACACAGAGAATATTCATGTGCGTTCAAAATCTAGTGGATGTGCTGGGCACCTCATGGACTCTCACTCAGCCTTTTGTGAGGGAGCTTCATACAGAAAAGTAGCAGGCAGAAGTCTAATTTAGCAACATTTCTTCTCTTGCTCATGTACAATCTGTTGTGATTCTTTCTGACACAGAATAGTCAGCGGCAGAAAGCAAGCCAGATTTCGGTCTGTCGCTGTTACGTTTTGAGAGCCTACAAAAGAAGCCACAGCATTTAATTATGCAAAAGCATCTAGCTCAACATTTCACTCTTCAATTTTCGAACACCACTTTTCACGCTTTAATCTGCTAGCTGCTTTTTGTAAAAAGCACACCGATCGTGTTTATATTTTCTATAGCGCATACCTTGCCTTTGAGACTCCCAGCTGATTCACACCTATTCTCTTTAACAGACACAACTAATTTAAAATCTAGCCCATTTCCAACATTGAACTAAATATAGGTCTCATTATTACACCCATTTTTAATGTTCCCAGTCAGTTTAATGGAGAAGAATTAGAATCACATTTCCCAACTTTAAAAATTGAATTTTTCATGTGAAATATTTACACAGTAAATTGCTGGATGCCATGTTGGATCAAATAACTTCAGGTCTCAAATGGCTGTTCAAGTGAAACACTGATATTTACTGTCAATCTTGATGCAAATAACATTTTTTTTAACTAAGAAATATAATATTTAGTTTGCAAATAGTAATTGCTAGCCAAATAGTGTTCAGAAAGAAACATGATTTTGAAATTGAGAACATCCATTGAGTTTCATTGGAGTAGAGGTTGTTAAACATGAATAATTCCTCAACAGCAAGTCAGGTGCTTGAGGTTTGGCTTGTTTGAAACTGATTTTTCTTCCTGCAGATAGCTGCTGTAGGTAGAGACACGCTGGGGGAGAAATTGTTCTTTTCTGTAAATTAGAGAAAACAAGAGATACTCTTACTGTGCTGAATGAGTTGTATAGCTTTGATTTAAAAATGTCTATACTACTGTAAGCGTGTACGGTGTCTGTTACTTTCCCTCTTTCACATAATTCAAGAATTTGCAGCTAACCAGTCTCTGAACAGCCTCAATCTGTTCTTCATCCATAGAATTTACCCGCTACTCCGATTGTCCAGCTGAAAGCTCAGGATAATGACACAGGTAGAAATGGTTTCCTAACATATGGCATTCTTGGTGGAAATGGACTAAAATTCAGGATAGATGAAGCAACTGGAATTCTTTATTCCACTGCCTCCTTTGATTATGAAGAGGAACCTACGGAGTATCAGGTTTGCTTTAGATTTTTAAGTCTTCATTATTCAGAACTCTATCTTTCCCGTGGATATCAGGTGACACTTTTATTTTGTTTACCTTGGTATTGCTTTGAACATTTTACGAGCTGTTTTAGAATATGAGCATCTCAAGATGTGATGCATTATTAAAGGAAGACACTGTCTTTAGACTATCATGAAATGCAGGGAAGGCTTGTTGTTCACCTGTCCTACAAACTCTCAAACACTTAAGCCGATGAATAACTAATTTCACAATGACAGCACATGTATTCAGTGCTGTCTGTTTGCTTGAATCTGTACTGGTCTGAGATCTTGCAGGTACAATTCTCAGTTAATCTTCTTTATTGTTGCTGCCACTGCTGAATATTTTTTTTTATGATTTTGCTTCAAGCAAAAATATTGATGAATTTGTTGGTTCTGTATAGAACAACTTCATTTATTGACCAAATACTCCTTAAATTTTCAGTAACCATTTTGAGATGATTTCAGAATTTGACTTTACATTTCTAAGAATACATCAAGTTTAAGTTTCACCAAGATTTTTTAAATCTTTATGCAATTACCTATTTGTATGCTTTCTCAGTACCAATAACTGTGTAACTTACAGGTTGTGATATATGCTGAAGATGACGGAATCCCTGAGAAGAAAATAGGTTACTGCACAGTTGTCATAAAGATCGTTGATGTTAATGACTGGCCACCTGTTTTTGATCCAGTGACTGAATTCAGTGTAAATGAAAATGCTCCCGTGGGATTCATAGTTGGAAAAATCACAGCAACAGACAGAGACACAGGAGACAATGCCTTTGTTCTATACAGCCTTACAGGTAACGAGGAATTCTCTCACTGCACTGGACCAACAGTCCCTTTGTTGCCTATGCTGTTACAGGCCTAAATAACTTTATGTGTGTTATCTCCTAACCCCTTTCCACATAAGCCAAGAAGGTTCACTTTCACCTGGCTTAGTATTTTACTAGTTTATCTTCATACAGCTTTCAAACAGATGGAGTAGGCACATCCTTTTGCAGAAACTACAAATTGTTGTGCTTGTAATCATACTCTTAATTCTGTTAAAAATCAGCTTTTACAAAAAAACTTTGGCTACTCGACTGCCATAGCTGCAATCAGAAGGAGTAATTTTGATGGAAAAAATGCCCATAGTTTTCTTGAATGAGGAATAAGGGTCTAGGGCCTAATTCATCCCTGCCTTGTAGAACCCGCTGTGCCTGCACCAGGTATTAAATGCCGCTAAATTAAGCCTCTCCACAGTCTGTGGGCTGTGAGCATTTCACAGGTACTAGGAGCAGATATAAATGGTATCACAAGTGTGTCAGGGACCTGATTCACTATTGAAGGCTGCTGGAGAGCTGTTGTCCTCACCCTTGTGCTGGACACCTTTACCTCTGGACCAAAGCTACTGTAGGAGTTGAAATAGTTGTTTTTGTTGTATGAACCATCAGGAGTGATTTGTATACAGTCCACATGTTTTTAGAGTCTTTTATTTTCAATAGGCATACAGACTTTGAGGTGGCTTTGGACAAGGGTGGCCAAACCCAGTAAAAGTCACTGCCAGGTCTTTTGGCAGTCAAACTGATTTCTCTTTAGAACGCTGTACTTCTTTGTCCACCTTCATTAGAGACAGAACAAATTCAGTGACATCTCCTCTCAGAGATCTTGGCAGGAGCACTGTCTTGTTGCAGCGTTTCATGGCTGTTGCACCCAGCAAATGTGAGATTGAGCATACAGAAGGTCAGAGGACTCTGAAAGTGCCTGGGAATGCCTCTTTATCTCTTCTGAGAGTTGCACAGGCTTGGAGGAACTTGCTTCCAGAGATTCACCCCAGAATCATCATGGGGTGTCCATCATCATTTGCATGCCTCAAGTGCTATTATTTTTTGAGCGTGACAGATGTATCTGCAAAACTTGTTAACCTGTTCTGCTGGCTCACATTTCAAACGCCCATCCACTCAAAATATTTTCTGCTTTTCTTCTACATTATCTATATGGCATTTTAAAAATTGTTTAATGACCCTGGGACACAAGTAAATGTAATTTAAGAGTGCAGTTAATTAGGTACTTCTAAGATGTATTCGTTGATAATGCTTTTTTTCAATGTGTCTCAGGTGGTGGAGGAAATATATTTGAAATAGATGAAATACATGGCAACATTAAGATAAAGAACTCTCCAGACTATGAAATCATGAATAAGTATAACCTTACAGTGAATGCAGTCAACAATAAATCTGCCCCTTTCCACCAGGTAAAAGACTGTTGTTGTAATGAACAGTGACTCTTCTATTCAGAGTGGATTTCTAACTAGTGGGAGGGGGATCTATCAAAGACATTTATTGTGTGGAATAAATTAGACACCTAGTCATCTTTAGGGTCAGACTTTGGTGACCGCTGTCCATGCTTAGTAGTATTATACTCCATAATTAGTTGAAATACTTCACAATCATGCATGGTAGAATTTGAACCTGAATTGTTTGCAGACTAACCTGTCCTGGGGAACTGGAATTCTTACCTGCTGCTATTAGTACTGTAGTACTGTAAGTGCAGTGATAATTTTTCACAGAAGAAAAAGTAATTTTCAGCAAATTGTTCTAGTTCTGCTGTATTTCTTTTAATTGAAAAGGTATTACATGTTTATTTAACAGAGTCGGAACACCTGTGGTTCCCTTGACTGCATCTGGCAGCAGCAGTAGGACATGCTGGCGTCCTAAACACATCCTGGTCTCGCTCCTTTCAAGAAGTAGAATCCTACTGCAACACTGAATTCCTGCCTCTCTTTTATTAAAACCCTGTAGCGATCTCTTTTGAGTTCACAAAATCAAACCTAACACAATATTTTACTCTGGCATTTTCAAAGTCTGTTTTATTCTTTTTGTTGTATATGCAAATAACAAAAAAATATCGTGAAGACACTCTAAATATTGATGAAACCATTTTATTTTCTAGGAAACTACTCATGTCACTGTTCTAGTGATTGATGTGAATGATAACGCTCCAGTATTTGCTCAGAATTCCTATTCCGCTTCTATAAACATGATTAATCCTGTAGGTGCTCATGTCATAACTGTGAGTGCTACCGACAAAGATCAGGTAACTACTCCTGTTTGATTTTGACACCGCTTTAAGATGCAGCCCAAATATATTTTTCTCCATTCTCTAGGCATGAAATACCAAATGTAGCAGAAAGTGAATTCTGATTGACTAACAGCACTGGGAATTGGAAATCAGGACTTTTGATGTTTCTGCCTTGACACTGATGTACTCCCTGTCTTTGGGCATGTTTCTTCATCTATATTTGCCGTAATTTTTTCCCCTTATATGGAGTTGTATCAGTCTTTCAGAAGTATATAAGGACTGAAGCAATTTATTGTCTGTGAACTTCTGAAGTAGAAGAATCTGTAAAAGCTAAACATCATATAGCTGACTTGAACATGGAAATGTTTGGTTACCAAACGCCTCTGAAGTGTAGTACCCCAGCTAACTGTCTCTGTCCCCATTTTTAAAAGTAATTTTGTCTGATATATCTGTACTGAGCCCATGAAGTAGTATCCAGGCACTAGCAGAGGTATCTAGAAGTCAACCAGATCACCACATTTAAAAGATAAAACATCTAGAAGTGACAACAGAATAAGTGTAGCAGGTGCTTTCCCATTTCTTCACACGTAATTTTGGTTAAAATAGCTGCACCTGTGGAATATTGTTGCAAATAATCTAACAGCCCCTTCTTTTATTGTCCTTCTCAATAATTGTGTATAATAAGTTAAATCGCTTATGAAAGTTGCTGGACTCTGAGATCTGCATTGAGGCCCTGATGAGATCCACCCTTCAGACCAGACCATGTCTGGTCCTCTGCTATGCAGAGTGGCACTCACCCTCCCTGTGCCAACCTTTCAGGATTCCTTGGCAGAGTCCAGCATTGAAATGATTACATTAGTGTTCTTCTCTATTCCTCCCTGTTCCTGAAATAATTATAAATCCACAGATTACTTAATGACAACAGATGTTCATATTAGGGTTTGATCCTGCTGCTGCAGAGCCATGGAAGAGGAGGATTACAATGCTTTTCAGAAATACAGAGTAAAGTGCAATAGAGCAAATCCTGAGGGTTTGTCAAAATGGCTTGTACATAGAATAAAATGTGTCCAACTCCCCTGTGGCAGGTAGGAATAGTGCTTGCCCTCACAGCAGCGGAGAGGCTGTGCTTCTCAAGGTATGAAAAGGATCTAAGGGACTTTGGCTTATTCTCATTGACATCACACCTGTAGATGACTCTTTTGCTACTCTGACTGTCCCCCGCTACATGTGTCTTTATTTTTGTTAGAGATTTTTTTTTCCCATTTTTACTGTGTAACTGGACAGCTGCTTGTGAATTTTCTTCTGCTTTGTGTTTTTATCAGCACCCATCCTACCACAGCTAACCCCAAGTTTTCATTCTTGAAATAATACATTCAAAATAAATTCAGTAAAGATATTTAGACATTGTCAAATATTTTGTTTCAGTGGTTATCCTACACTTCAAAATGTATTCCCAGGGCATGCAGTGTACTTTAGCATGGCTATGTGAATTTTTTTTGGATCTTGGAACTTCAAAATTAATTTGGGGGCTGCAGAGCTCTGCCCCCTTGGCCCTTTCCTTGCTGCTGCTCTTGTGTTACAACTTAAGCACAAGGTAGCTCTGAGCCTGGTTCTCTCTAGTTATTTAAAACACCTCAGGCATTCTGTCCACTTAAGTATGGAAATATTGAGATTCTGGTGAGAGATATATACTGGAAATATTGGATATATTGAGATTCTGTACTGTGGGACTTGGGGCACTGAAATGATGTGGTACCGCAAAAAATAGTCACGTGAAGTTGTGTTCCTTTCATGGCAGGGGCAAAATGGCCTTATCGAGTACTACATCCTCCCTGACCAAAACTTCAGCCCGTTTTTCCTGATAGAAGATAAGAGTGAGGGGAAAATAATTACAACTGGAAACCTGACTAGATCTGGAGAGATCCATTTAACAGTGATGGCTAAGGACAAAGGCTCTCCATCTTTAAATGACACTGCTGTGATTACTCTTAATGTGTTTGACAACCGTCCCTTTGTTCCTTGGTTTAACGAGAGCACAATCAGGTGAGACTTTCATATTAAGTTATATAACTGGTACATATTCTCCAGGTAGTGGAAAACACAGTAAAGCTGAAAATTGACACTAATTCTTGTATTCTTCTATGCAGAAGAAAGGACATCAGCTTTTTTTTTTTTTTTAGACAAAATGTCCAGGAAATTCTGTTATGCCAGTGATTCTGTGTATGTGATGTGAGGCATCGCCTTTTATTTCTTTCTTGTGCAGTTTGCTTAAACTCTTTGTCCCTTTCCTCCTGCACACTAATAAATCATTCTTCCTTAGCCTTTACTCAAGGATAAATGAATTTTGGCTAGAAAAGTAGGGCTTGCACTGCACTCTGAATGTCAGTAAGCTCCAAAATACAACTAGAGGGGAGGGGGCAGGATTTTCCACAGACAACTTGCTCTTTAGAGTTAAATTTCAAAACCTGCCAGTGCAACAGCTACTGGGAAATTTAACATTATGATTTATCATTTATCTTCTATATTAGCATTTCCGTTTTGGAAAACACAGGAGTGGATTATTTAATTTACACTTTTACTGTGGTCGAAACTTTAGGAAAACCGATTGATTATACAGTTGTATCTGGCAATGAAAAAGGTGAGTACTATTTCCCTTATGAGATAAAACAGCTAAGATAACAGAATAACCTTTGTGTGGCAGATGGGGAGACAGAGAGCAAGGATAAAAATTTGTGTCGTTTTCTTAAAAAAATAAAGTACACAAGGAATTTCTTTCAGAGCTTTTCAGCGTGGGCTTTGTTAATCTTCTTTGGCTAAAGAGGGGATGGTAATTTGGTAGAAAATGGGTTTCTGTAGGCTTAAACTGGAATAATTTGGAGGCTGAGGAACCCAAAATAAAGTTGTTCTTAGCAAGCAGCTTCTTCCCTGCCAATCACCATTAGTCTATCATTTCCTTGCACTTGCACCTGTCAGGGCACGAGGCCGCCTTCAGCTTTTTGCAGCAACTCCATTTAGCACACAAAAAAGGAAAAAATCAGAAACCAAGAGAAAAAGTTGGACATCGGTGAAAAAGGAAACTGTGATTCTGTTTTCCAAGTATGCCGCTCCTTTACGTGTTTAAGGCCTGTTTGGGCTGGGATAGGGCCCCAGCTGTGAAGTCTTTGCTGCTCAGCTGGTGTAAGTGTTGTGTTTCACATTCTTAAGAACAGAGGAGCCATGGAAGCATCCTAAGAGCAACTAAGGCACAAGAGGTAGGAGGGGTACAAGTGAAATGGTAGCTGTAACAGCAAAGGTGCATGTTTTTCCCTTCAGGTCATTTTAGAATGGATCCAAAAAGTGGTCAGCTGAGAACAGCAATTAATTTGAACTATGAGGAAGTTTCTCAGTATGTGATTTTAATTGAAGCAAATGAAAATCTCTCATCCATCCCAAAAGTCCAACATTCAGGTAACTTCTTCCTTTGAAGGACGTTCCAACTTAAATCAGGGACAACGAACGCATATTCATCGTACAGCTTCGTGAATGATCAAATACAGGAACTGTGGTCCTCTTTAACTGAAAAGTCTGGTGTCAAAAGCGAAAAGCTGAAGGTCAAGGTTGTGGAGATAAAAGTCAGCAGCCTTCCTCCAGGGGTGCAAACCCTGGTCTCAGAATATAATAGCTGGGCATTGGTCTCCTCGGGAGGAGCTGGAGGAACCCTCCTGTCCCTCGTCTGGTACAGCACAGGCAGCTGGAGAGGGCTGACAGAGGAGCAGTGCTGTCACCTTTTGCCCTGAACTGCCCACTCTCACTGAAGCCCCAGGAGGAGCGAGATGTGTCCTCTGGGCACGTCCCTGCTGCTTCTGCCTCTTCCTCCCATGCAGCAGAGGTACTGCTGCAAACCTGGCCTTTGAAAGTTGTGCTTTCCTGGTGTTTGCTGAAACTTGTGTTTATTTAACAGGCCTGTTTGCTCAAAATGTGGCAATGCTGACAATCACAGTGCAGGACGTAAATGAAGAGCCAGTGTTTTTGAATAATGCCTACTCTGCTCGGATACCAAACTCTGTGCCCTACAGGTACCCGGTTATTACAGTTCAGGTAGAGTATCTTTCTGTGCTCTTCATGATGAAGAAATCCTCAAGATTTGAATTCCTCCTACAGTCAAACTGGGTTCAAAGAGCTGTTAAATCTGCTCTTGAAAGCTTGAGGAAGATTCTGCCCATCATCCAGATTTAACATAAGGCGGGTGAAGGGGAGGGGGTGTTGAGGGAACCAGTCCCCACCTCTCCTACCAGTGGGTCTGTCCGAAGAGCTATACAGTCCGTTCTGACTCGTGATGCTGTTATGGATTACATACTGCACAGACCACTGTTCTCTCTTCGGCACCGTTAACCCCTTTGTTAGCCATCAGACCCAGATGGGAAAATAATTATAAAATGGAGCAGTTCTCATCTTTACTTGTCTGGTGTTATCCCTCAGTTCTAACCTTCTCCTTTTATGCTTGCAGCTGTAGAATCTTCCAGACTCCATGATAAATGTATTTCCCCTTTTACACCCTTGGTCTGATTCTGATAGTTTATGCTTCACTTTTAGTGCAAAGAGAAAAATATGACAGCACTATCCTAGAATACTCCAGTCATACAAATAGAAACTGCAGAGTTTAATGATTGAAAAGCAATGTGCAGCCCAAAAGCCACAAGCTGAGTTTCACTAATCACCTTTTTTACATCAGGCCACAGATCCAGATTCAGGTGACAATGGGCTTCTGCTGTACAGCTTCATGAATGATCAAACGAACGAGTTTGACATCGATGAAAATACAGGGCACATTTTTACAGTTTCTGTAGCAGGAAAGGCTGGAACATTTTATCTGGAAGTCCAAGCTGCGGACCAGGGCACAAGAAGACTCACAGCCCGGACAACAGTCAATGTAAGGAAGATTGTTTTTTATAGTCCTGATTTGCTACCATGTCAAAACTCTGTATACAAGAAGGTCTAGGTTTGATAATGACCAAAAAAATTATTGAACACCATACAATGAGTATGTCAGGATTTAGTACATGCTATCAGGCCAGAATTATGAGGCTGCCATTTCCACTGACATATGAAAATATGTTGGCATGAAGACTGACTTTTAGAGGACAATTAATTTATATCCAAGGTTTTGGTTTGGTTGTTTTGTTTTGGTGTTTTTTTTGTGGGGTTTTTTTGAAAGTCAATCTATGAAAGGTACAAATGCTTTAGAAAACCTTACGTATCATTTCTTATTTATTAGGTAACTGTTGATTCCAGTTCCAGTAACAACATTGTGATGATGGTACTTAATCAGAAGATCAATGTTGTTGAAAGAAACATTGCTGAAGTAAAAAGGTATTTTGGAAACTGTGAAGCTTATTCTGGTATAATATCTAAAGAGAAATTTAGAGTGCCTTTGAGATAAGGGTCTGACAGCCTACAGGGGAGGTGATGCAGCCAGTGCCTGTGAAAAGCTAGGCCTTCAACTTGATGTAGCTCAGAATAATTTGAGGGAATTAACAGGAATCCACCAGTTTTTATCTGGTGAGGCTTTGGCCTGATCTGACGAATGGCAAAGGGGTCATTGGACTGGATGATTTTGAGATGACTCTTCCCACCTCAACATTTCTGTGATTTTTCACAGCCTGGGATAAAGTTTTTTCATGGATAGTTGGCTCAAGATACAGATGTGAAAACAGAGAGGATAGCAACCACAGACCAAACCCACCTCTGCTACAGATGAAAATTCCCCCTTGTAGAACAGCAGCAGAGCTCCTCAAGGAGCTCTCAGCCCTAGGGTGCTGGGGGATTAGCTAGTGATGTGTGGATGGCCACGCTACAATTAAAAACATATTTTAGTCTTTTTGGCATGTGAATGAAGACACCGGATCTTTTGTTTGATTATATGTAAACATATATTTTTACATTGGAAATATTGAGTCTTGTGCTTTTGAGGGAAAATCACTCTGAAGTCGGGAAAAATGAGTTTGTGATGTTGACGTCATTACAGCGCCAGTTTCTTTTTGGTAAAAATTAAATAGGAACCCTAGAGCTGCTCTGCTGCTTTCCTCGAAGCAGCTGGTACTGGCCGCTGTCAGAATGATGGATTAAGTGGGCCAATGGTCGGATCCAGCATGAAAATCTCTCTGTGAAAAAGGAGGAGCAAACAATGAGGATTACGAGACTGTATTTCCCTTCTCCCCACCTTTACTGTTGATAATACTCTGTAGGTATCACTGCCTGTGTTTATAAAAAATAACGTCAAGCATGAAATGAGCCATATGTCGCTTGGAAAAGCATGGCTACATATAGGATATACTATGCAATATCGGTTATGACATCTAGGTATAAGGGTTTGTTAACCCTCCCTTTCTCTAATTAATTGTTCAGTTATACTAATGGCACCTATCTAAGAATTTTTAGGCTATGTACCAAAGATACATAGCATCTACTGATGAAAGTATCTTCACTTACCAGTTACCTGATATTGGGCAGATAGCTTACTTCCTTTGTTGATGATGATCCTGCATTTTTACATGCTTAGATTAAAATACTAATTATCTGCCAAGCATTAAATAGTACTTTTCTACCATTTAATTTCCAGAGTAAAAGAATGTGTCATCACCCAGTTAATTTAAAACGTTTTCTTGATCTGATGGCAGGGTCCTGGAAGATAAACTTGCCTGGAATGTATACATCGTTGATGTTTATTCTAATGAGTTTGAAAGAAAAGCGAGAAGCAGCACTGATATCACCTATGTAAAAATTATTGCTTTTGATGGGGCAAACCAGGAAGTATCTGCACAAGATGTAAAAAGGTCTGTATGGCACAGTCTATCATTTGGGTATCAGAGCTATGCAGCTAGGTTTTGTTTCCCTTAAAATGATTGTTGACAATAAACAAGATTAATCAAATAACAGTTTGAGACTTATCTCAAGGCTTAAATGGAATTTCTAGAATTCAGAAAGCTTTCATTATTTATTGAAAGGTAGTTTCCAGAGTCTGTCAAAAACATGAATAAGGCTGCTTTAATTATGCAAAATAGATTTTAAAGTCAGCTTTATAGAAAACTGAATCAGAAAGAATATAATTAAAATAGATATTGACTTCAGAATTGCAGAATGTTGATTAAAAACTTCCATTTTAGGTGTATTTTCCATTTGTTTCATAACGTGACAGGAGTATGAAGGCACATTCTTATAAACATTTGGTGAAGGGCAGCTGGTATTTAAACACATGATTTCTAGACTCGACACCTCTCTTAAACTAGTAATTGTTTGTGGCTGATAGTGCTAACGTAGTCTGTGGTCACGGGAAGCACTCCGCATGGATGAACCTTTACCTCTGAGGAAAGCGTTATTGGTATCTGTAAGACTGTATGTGGCTACCTTGATGTGCATTTAGAGAACACTGGCCTCTCAAGTTCGATTTTTCCCAACTTTGCAGCATTTTAGTTCGTAAGCGGTAGGGCTGGTTGCTAGAAAATAGAGTTTTTCCTGAATGGAAGATGTGACAAGTCTGAATCTTTGGAAAAGGTCTTGGTGGACCAGGCAGTGGGGTTCTGTTGTTTTCTTCACTACTCTTCAAGCCAAAATGAAGGTCTGATACATCATCAGCATTTTACTCTTCTGTCTTCAGAAAACTTGGGGAGCAGAAGAGTAACATTGAGGCAGAACTGGAGAAAATATTTTCAACATCCGTTACTGCTGCCATAGAAGAGGCTCCTGCTGACTCGGCAACTCCTGAACTCATTGCAGCTATTGTCCTCAGTGTCCTGCTAGCCTGCGTCCTCATAGCCTTCCTGGTATACGTACTTGTTACTATAAAGAGGAAAAGGTACAAATAGTTTTACTTTAACAATATAATTTAGAATTAAAACTAGTAAGTTTACTTTAAATGTCAACCTGAAAAATACTTACCTGATAAATTACTGATATTTGCATGGAGTGTTGCTGAAGATTTGCTATAGATCAAAATGGCTGGGGTTGTACTGTAGATGTGAGACACGCTACACGTAACTGACTGTTGCTTCTTGTGCTCGTCGCACAGCAACAGAAGAAAAAAAGACTTTTATAAACAGGGAAATGTGGATACCAGAAATTGTAACTGTGGAGGGAGGCACAAGTAGCCGTAATACACCCCTGTAAATCTTCTCTAACCCCATGAATGATGAAATCAAGGGAAGTTTTGCCGTTACCTTCAGTAGCAGCACGACTATGTAGTAGAGGAAAACAAATACATTTCCAAGAGGGCAGCAGGTATTTACCCTGCTACTGTTATGGAAAAATAGAAAATACTCCAAACTAATCTCCAGAATAATACTGAAAATAAGTGTTGTGTATTAAACTTATGCCACAAATACTTGATATTCTGTTTTTAAAACAACTGTAAAGCCAATTTTCTGAAAGAAATTATTTTATTTTTATATATATATATATATATAATTCTCAGAAAGTATGAGCAACAGCATTTGGTTAAGAAGCAAGCTGAAATTATGGAGGGAATTGATAATCTGTGTGCCACTGACAAAAATGGAAGTCTGAAAAGTTTAGAGAAACTAGAGCACACAACTAACATGTAAGCAGAATGGGGATATCACATATTTATACAAAATACTGTAGTTTATGGTGTTAACAGACATTTTTCCTTCTATCTTTCGCTAGTGCATATGTTGATTTTTAAGAACCCGTACAATTATGAGTTAAAAACTCCACACTTGAAGGAAGCTAATACCTTTTAATCTTATATTGAAAACTACAAGGGCAAATTCCTACTTACTCTTTAGCAAATTGTTAAGCCTTAAGCAGAAAGTATCTTCAGGATACAAGAAGCTACTTAACATTCCCCTGGGTAAAATGCCAGTAATTTTGAGACCAGTGTACATGCTGCTCTCAGTTTTAGAGAGGCAAAGGTTTTTGTCACTTAAGTATATGCAGGCTCAAGGTGTTACGTAATTCTCTTAACTCTCTTTCAGGAAAACTGAAATTATAGGGTTTAGCAACATGGTAGCCACCACAGGAAGTGACGATGACAAAGATGTACTTCATGCTTATGAAACATGCAGTTCCCTGGAGACACTAAATTGCAACAGTGAACAGAAAGAAAACGTAGCATCTGAACAAGCTGCTGAACCTAGAAATGGAGATGCCCAGCCCACTCCAGAATTCACAACAAAACAGGTAATTAGCTTTTCAATTGTGAAGAATGGCAGGCTGAGAGGTGGTGACTCCCTTCCACCTTTTACAGAATGTGTAAAGGGTTCTCACGTGCTGCTCCCAGAACTTGCAGCCTTGAAAACGATGCTTTCTGTGTAAGCTTCAAGTTGTACAATTTGTACCATTTAGAATTTGTCCGTGTTGTACCACCTGCAGCTTTTTGTCTCATCGGTGTTATTCATGTTTTCTCGCAGGATTGCTTTCTCACAAATAGAAATCAGGACTCAGCTCTTCCCTTAACACCTGCTCCCTCAACGCAGGCCCCTGAAAAAGAAATCAAAGGAGTAAAATTTTCAGAAGTGGCAATTATCTTGGATGCAGAACCTGAAGATGAGGAGCCTGATGACAACGATATATTTTTTCACCAGTAAGAACACTGGATGAAGAAAACTTTTAGGAAAACCACAGCGACGCTCTTTGGAACGCTACAGAGTTGAAGGAGCGATAAGAATACGTGAATGCTATCCCGATTTTAATTCCTGCTACTCCTGTTCTTTGCGCTGGAGGGGACGGACCAGAAGGGAAATAAGCACTAAGCTAGAAGGGCTGCAGAGTTGCTTTCCTAGAAACGGTGCTATCTTCTCTGTCATAAGAAAATAAATTCCCTGTAAAAGGGCAAGACAGTAAAACCGCTTCCCAATGTGACGCCTGGTCAGTATTTTAGATGGAAGTATTTCTCAGACACCTATCTTCTCTTCCTTTTGCACAAAACCTCAGTGTCGGGGTTGGGTTTTGGAAACGAGTGCCCGGTATTTACTAGTCCCGTGGTGCCTCTCCTCCCCGCCCCGGGCCCTGCACCCACCCACCTGCCTTCCCCCGGGTTTTCCGCCCGTGTGTGTGTGTGTGTGTGTGTCCTGTCAGCGGGAGGAGCGGGGAGGAAGGGCGGCGCGGCCTCGCCTTCCTCCTCCTCCTCCTCCTCCTCCGGCGCGGAGCGAGGAACGGGGGAGGGGAAGTTTCTGGCATCTTCTGGCTGGGT